AGCCAAGGAAAGGGGTGTTTAAGCCCCCCAGCAACATAGCCTTTGACACTGCTCAAAATAAAGTCTGCATTATTAAAGACACTTACCTGTTGGTGTAGGTGCAAATCAGGATTTTGTTATTAGGATTCCTGCAAAGCTCCATGGCTGCCGTTGCCATGGTGAAGGTCTTCCCTGTTCCAAAAGGTCCATAAATGAGCAGCGGCGCTGTGAACTTCTTCTTATCGTGGTTCCCTGTAATGAAGCTCAATGCAGACTGCTGCTTGGCGTTCAGCTTCTCGTAGGTGACATCGGTGACAGGAACTGCACAGTTCTGGAGGTCTGGTAGAACTCTGCTGGTATCTGGGAGGAGGTCTATGGCTTTGTGCATGTTACATAAGAAGTGGCGATCCAACTGAAACTGCACCTCCATTTGATAAGACTCATTGTTTTGAAGAGCAAGATCAAAACAGCACTGTTTAGAGAGCTGAAGGAATATTTGGTTCTCATTGGTTCTCAGCTGCAGGACCTTGGCCTCATAAACCTTAGAGTTAGGATGCAGCGAGTCTGAAGGAGCTATCAGGGCACACTGGACGCTTCGTTTCAGTGCCAGTCCTTCAGGACTGTCCATGGTGAGCTTGTAAGGACTGGAAACAGAACAGTAAAGTTGCCCTTGAGGGGCAAACTCCATCTCAAAACCACTGTTCAGTTTATCCATGGTTGTTATTTGCCCACAAACATTGAGTCTAAAAGAAAGAAGACAGACTGTTTAAAAACTGAACCCAGTGTGAAACCTGTTAGAGAAAGCTTGGAAGATCAGGACTTTACCTTGAAACCACTTGGTCCTCTGCTAGTTCCTCATTGTACAGGAACTCATGCATCTTTGCCTTGTAGTTTTCAGCTGTTAGAGCTGTCTGGTTGTTGCTCGGCCGTCTGTAGAGAACACTGAGCTCTGGAGGCTTGTACTCCTTCCAAAGCTCCTCCTGTTTTTCTGTTCTGAAAGAACAGGGTATTATTACTCTGTTCCCTCGAGTCCAGCGCTCTGTACTTTCAACAATGACCCCCTGGTTGAAGACGGGCTCCTTGGCGTCGTCTGCTGATTGCTGGCCAACTCTGACTTTGAGTTTTTTCAAGAGGACTGGTCTCATTTGAAAATCTAGCACCAGCCACTGTTCATACAGGCCTGGGTGCATAGATGTAAAACACACAGTGATGACATAGGTCCCGCTGGGGGTGAGGAATCTTTCCCCGGTAGAGTAGATGCATGGTTCAGAGCTGTCAGCAGCACCAAGGCTGAATGAAGCTCCAGGTTCCTGCTTCAGCAGTGCAACATGCACCAACTGTCTCTGTGGAAAAAACAGAAGAGCTTCTGTTATTTCAAGGCCAAACTCCAACTTTTAGGACTTTCTGTGAATTAATCTACCTCCGTCTCAACCGTGAAGTTCCATGAGAGTTTTGCATTGATGTTTTCACTCTCTACACTTAAATCTTCATCACAGGAGATGCTGACATCATCAACATTTTCAGACAACTGTTTAGACAATCAGAAATGTTAATTTGGTCTGAAACTGAAGCCATTCTTATGATCTAACAGCTTTCTTCTTCTGAAGTCTGAATACTTTCTTTACTCCGCAACACATTTACAACAAAGCATCATACTCACCACATAGACTTCATTGCTGCTGTTCCTGTACTCGTCTAGAAGCTGCTGGTTGTAGCACATTAGGCCCTCAGTCTCCATGCTGCATCGGATCTCCTTCTCCTCTGCAGATCTCATCATCCACTCCTTAAGCTCCTCCTCAGAGTGAGCTTTTGGACAGTTTGAGCCGTATTCACAGGTCTTTGGTCTACAATTCAAACATTGTGTTAAAAGTGCAATGAAAATATTCATCTGATGTAAAATTGGTTTACAGTTGGAAGACTTCAAAGAGTCAGGTAGAGTTTGTACTCCATTTGCTCTGATCGAATGGAAATAAACTGCTGCAAACAGAAGAGATGATGTAACCACTGCTAAATTACTTTATTTATTAGCATGCTTTATCTGAAGCTGAAGATTCTCAGTCATCCAGGTCATTGTGTAACCCGGGTAAAAGTCCCAGTGATTTCCTGTTACATGTATAGATAATGGAGAGAGATCCCAGTGATCAAATCTGTGTAATTTTTAACTTCCATCCCCTCATTACTACACAGCCAATTGCTGTTGAGTATCAGGGTCACATGTACCGCAGCCTATCAGCTAGGTATATAAACTGGAGTGGGAGAAAGTATGAAAGATTAGGGCATGTTGGCAGAAGCAGAGCTACAAGAGCTAACCACTTAGCCAAGATGAGATGGAAAAAAACAGTTTGTTTGTGATATAAACTATGGAATTGACCAGGTGTTGATGGCGAGCTGAAGGTCTAAGCCTAGAGCCCATAAAAAGATTGAACTTTTGGGTGCATGAAGACTTTGGATCTCCTGCCAGGCTGGTAGGAGGCTCCTTGCAGCCAACAAACAATTCTGTTCCACCCTGCTCTGACTTTTGTCACCAAGCACTTTAAAAGGAACATGATTGAGACCTTTAATCAACCCCAGCTTGGGGTGAATTAACTGAAGGTATGTGGGTTAATTAATTGTGGAATTGATACATTTTGTTTTTTTCTCTTTATTGTTTTGGGGGGGTTTCTTTTGCTTTTTATATGGCCACATGGATATTTCACTGATGTTGTAAATATGTATATAATTTTCCTCACTATAATTACCAGGCACTCGCAGCTGCAAACTTCTAGGCTCTGTCTGCTGTTTCATGAGTTGTACTTATATTCTGAGAACTAGCCTATTGACCTTATAGGTTAAGATCGATTTGCAGTGATTTAAAATATAGTATACTGTTATATATGCTACAATTGTCATTGCAGAAAACTTAAAAAAACCACTTGACTTTGTTTTCCAAGTTTAAAGACGCTTTGCTTCCCATCCAGGAAGCTTTCTCAAATCAAAAGGTCTGGAGTAGCATTGAGCTCCAGGCTTATTGTTATGGCTTAGAAAACATGCACTTTGAACCAAATAACAAGGCTTCGGCTGAGCCATTCTATAAGCCTAGAAATAAATGCTAATCCAGACATTTTGAATTTAAAAAGCTTCCAGGATGGGAAGATAAACATCTTCAGTGTTGGGAGCTGGAGAAGTTCCATCTTTCTCCAGCAGAGTCCGCCATGGATCCTCCCGAGATGAGCCTTCGACACACCTGAGGCGCATCTCATCATCAGAGGATCCACAGTATATAACCTGCCTTCAGACCTTGCCTCGACGCCGCAGTGTTAAATCCAGTTTGGTTAGCACCTGAGCCTAGCATCTTCTGAGAACCTTTGTTGCCCTTGGATCCAGATAGGATTCTGATCCTTTTTGTCTCTGCTTTCAGGAATCCTGTTTT